AGATAGCTAGAGAGAGAAAGAAAGATGAAAGGGAGAAAGAGGGAAAAGGAGAGAAACTAGAGAGACAGAGAGAAAGAGAAACAGAAAGAAGGAAGGAAGGAAGGAGGGACGGAGGTAAAGGGGGGAGAGAGAGAAACCTGTTTGACCACCTGCACCACCATCCTGGGACAAAAGCCCAGGATCCCTGCGGCCCCTGACAAAGGCTCGCAAAGAATTACTCGGCCACCTTCTCGCCGCGGGAGGGGGGCGGGTGGGCGGCCGGTAGGCCGACCGGCGCGGTGGCTCCGGAGCCGAGGCGCCGCGGTTCAACCTCCAGCCCCTGCAACCCCTACCCGGAGGAGCTTAGCCGTCTTCTTCTTCGGAGGGGCCGAGCCTTGGTCCCGCTGGCTGGCGGGGCTCAGTTCCTGGGCGGGGCCGGAGTAGCGGAGGGAAGTTGAGGCGAAGTTGCGAGAGTCGCCTTCTTCCCGGCGCTGCTCCAGGACTCCGCCCGCCCGCCCGCCTGCCTTTCCCTCTCGCCGCCCCTTGGGTCCTCCGCGAGCCTCCTTCGCCTCAACCCCGCGCCGTCCGTCGAATCCTCCTCCTCCTCAGCCATGGCTGAAGAGAAGCCGCAGGTCGAGCTGTTCGTCAAGGTAAGCCGGCGGAAGCGGGAACCGGTTGGGTGGGGGCGAGACGGGAGGGGGGGTGGCGTCTCTTGCGCTTTAGTGCGGGGAGGCGAGCGGGTTGCTCCCTTCTTCCCATGAGGGGGATCGGATGAGAAGAAAGGGAGGGTGTGTGTGGGGGGTGTCTCTAACACCGATTAACTCTCCTATCTTGGAGGGGAGGGGGCGGCTTGAAGAAGCGGGAAACCTTGCCTCGCTCTTCTCTCTCTGTCTCTCCCCTTCCCGCCAATTTTCTCCCCTTCCCCCTTGAGCAAAGGAGAGCCAGAAACCGGAAAAAAAAGAGAAAAGTAGCGCGCGAGTGGTGTTTTTTTTTTTTTTAATTATTATTAATTTAAACTCTCTTTAGCGGACTTTGACGAAGATCGTTGGGTTTTAGCTTCCTTGCCGTGCCTCGGTTCGGGAGCGCGGTCCGGGTTTTTAAAGGGCGGATGGCTGGAGGGTGGGGGTGGAGGGTGGGAATCGATCCCGTCTCAAGTCTCCAGGGAAATCAAGAGGGAGACCCGTCTGATCCCGGGGGCGGGGGCGGGGGGGATCCGTGCGCGGCTAGGTCGTCATTCGACCCGACGCTCCTTTTGACTCCACTTCCGATCTGTCAGGCTTTGGCACGGGCGATCGACGCGCTGGAAGGGAGCGAGGCATCCCGGAAAAGACAAAAGCGAAACAAAAGATCCGCCTGTGGACATCTTTCACAAACGGGTCGGTTCCATTCAATTCGAAGGGACCTTGGAGGTCTTCTAGACCAACCCCTCTGCTCCAAAGCAGAAGACCCGGCTTAGACCGTTTCAGACTAGTGACTGTCCAGTCTCTTCTTAAAAACCTCCAATGATGAAGCCCCCACAACTTCTGAAGGCAAAGCTGTTCCACTGGTTAATTGTCCTCCCTGTTAGGAAGTTTCTCCTTAATTCCAAGTTGCTGCTTTCCTTGATTAGTTTCCATCCATGGTTTCTTGTCTGGCCTTCTATTGCTTGGGAGAATAGGTTGACCTCCACCCCCTCTTCTTTGTGGCAGCCCCTCAAATATTTGAACAGTGATATCCTGTCCCCACTAGTCTTTCTTTTCTTCAGATTGGCCATACCCAATTCCTGCAAGTCGTCTTCATATTTTTTTTTAATCTCCAGGCTCTTAATTATCTTAGTTGCTCTTCTCTGCAATTTTTCCAAAGTCTCAATATTTTTTTTAAATAATGTGGTGATCAAAAATGCATGCTTTATTCCAGGTGTTGTCAACCCGCTTCGAGTCAGTCCTTTTTTTTTTTTTTTTGCTGATGATAAAAAACCTTTTGGGGCTATTTCCACCTTGGGTGTTTTGAGGAGCTAGCTCGGTTGAGAGCCTAACTTTGGGAAGTAAAGAGCGATTTTTAAAAACATTTCTAAATCCCTGGTTCAGCTCGCTCCAAAAGGATGTATCCCAGATGTGGTGGACTACAACTCCCATCATCTTATGCCATTAATGGATGCTGATGTTGTACTCTAACACATCTTTCCTAAGCCTGGGTAGAGTGTAGTAGGTGGTGGGTGGTGGAGGCAATTTTGACATTTACTTGCTGGATTTAGACTTGCTTGAGTTGAGGTTATCCTAAGTCTCTTCATTAGAATAAAAGAAGTTAAGTTTTAGGATTCAGCAAGACTCATCATGGTTCCTTGTGGCTTGTTAAAATAATTTCTGGTGACTTGCGGGGGAGTAAACTCCAAAACGTAGGAGAGGAGAGGATGAAAACGGTGGAGACTAGACAAACGTTCCAACTTTATTTGAAACCTCACTAAACTTAAATAAATTAAGTACAGTTAAGACAGTTTTCCCTTTGTTTTTAACAATTTCCTTCTGCCAAATAATTATTGGCAACTTGGCTTTCTGGAGGCTGAATTCGAGGGTTGGCAGGCAGCCACCTATAACTTGGCCTTTTGCATTTCTGCTCTACCCTACTGTCAATTTAGGAAAAAGTTTTGAAGTCCGGATGAATCATCGGCTCTTAAGCCTTGACATTTTTTTCTGCCTCTCATACTTCATTTCCTTCCTCTTGAAGTTCATACCAATGAACTAAGAAAGGAGAATTTAAAATCTCTCCCATGGTTTGAATAAGGCTGGGAGGGTGGGGTGCTCTGATTTGGCTGGTGCCCTTTTACACTGCAGTATAGACTGCTGGTGGTGTCTTTAAGGAAGGTTTTGAAGGAAGGAGGTTTAAAAGAGTTGCTTTCAATGAGATGGGTGGCTATATGAATTCGATAAATCAATAAAATAGATGACCACTGTGCCTCTTTCTAAAAGCTACATTCTCTTCAGTCTTTCGAACTACAGATTTTCTGAATGTGACTTTTAAAAGATTTCTACCTTCCCTTTTCATCTGACAAGGATGCTCTAAGTGCCTGCTTATCTAAATAAATGCAGAATTAACAAAAAACACTTAAAACACAGTTAAAATAATAAATACCTGTACAATCAAACCATTGGCAAAAATAAAACACTGTGTCATTCATCCATTCCTTCTATTCTATTCCTTTTCATTCATTCAAAACCTATATTAAACCTATATAAACATATATTATGCAAAGCCATCAACATTAAAAACCTGGCATCAAAGTTATTTAAAATATTTATATCGCAACTAAAACAACATCAATAATAAAACAAAATGCATACACACACACACACACACACACACACACACACACACACACACACATATATCATTTCAGACAAATGGCTGTCCAGTCTCTTCTTGAAAGCCTCCAGCCATGGAGTCATTTGATACACTTTTTAAATGTATCTATTGATATACAATTGCTACACTAAGTATAATTGTGTAGATACTTTGCCATCAATGCCACAGAGACAGGTGAGGATCAAGGAGGACTTCCTGAATGCTTCCTGCTATTTGAGGATGCTCCTTCAGAAAGTTAAGAAATTAGGACTTTGGAGAAGACCAAGGCAGAAAGAACATTATATTTCTGATCCAGCTTGATATTTGCATTCTTCAAAAAGGATCAAATCGAGAAAAATGATATGTTAATAAGCCACATTATTTCTCCTGACAGCTTATTGGTTGGTTCTTTACTTATGCCAGCCCATAGATGATCAACTTGTGGTATAGGGTATAAAGAAGCTTGTAGGATATTTGGACAACAGTGAAAATTTTCTTGGTGGCTTGCAGTGTGTTTGACTTACGCAACTGTATCAGGTGAGAATCAAGTTCATTAATCTGTCTAGTATGGATTTGTGTCTTTCTGCTCCTCTGTAATATGATTAGTTTAAGGTTTGCTTGGTGCATGATGTGAATCCAAACTTTGTGATTTGAAAACCATGGTTCTGAACTTCAGATGCTGTATGAACGTGGTCAATGGGAAGTTACTCCATAAACCACCGTCGACTTTTTAGATTTTGTGGTATTATAAGCAGAGTGAGTAAGTAAGTAATCCATGACTAAATTAGTGCATTGTGTAAATGCATTGTGTAAAGTCTTTCCTTTTATGGGAGGATGTGTAGGAACTTAGTCCAGAATGAGTTTCTCTGAGTCTACTTTGAGTGGAAGGTACTAGAAAATGAATTTGAGGTCTTTTTCAGGAAAACCAAAAGTTCTTCTGGAGTGCTTTGATGGTCAACTCACCAGGAGTTTCCTTCCATGTTTCATTTTTATACCTGCTGTCCCTCCTTATCCTATTTTTGTGCAAGCTTAGAGGGCCATTTTTCAAACTAGCATTAGAGAGAATAAGCAACAGGTTTGCTGCAGTCTTGCAGAAGGAATACAAACTGTGAACAAACTTTCAGGTAGCCCAAGAGAAATGTGTCCCTGATAATTTGAGGCCTCTTTTAATTTATTCCCCTCTTCCGAGTTCCTGTCTGTATTTGGACCTTATAGGACCTTGTCCTCGGGAGGAGCACTCATGAAATGTACGTAATGAAGGTGAATATTCGTGTCCTAGGATAACGTTGCAGGATCCAGTCTGAATTGGTCCCTGGGACCAGTGGGTTTGCTCTTTCAAGCTTTTGGACTCAATCCTCAGGGAATTGCTCAATCTGCAGGATCTGTTGATCCTGGAGTTTGAGAAGTTCCTGGAGGATATGGGCTCCAGCACAACTCCGAAAGCTTGGTCCCGGGGACTGAGTCAGGTTGGATCCTGGAATGCACATGTATTTCAAGACTGCCATCTTAAAAAAAGGGTGAAATGGGTGGAGCAGAAAAGTGACACTGACATAATGCTCCGTCCTGCCACTGCTGCTGCCAGGGTAAATCACCGTACTTTGTGCCAAGGTTGGTTTGGGCGTTTCCACCCTAGCATTTCCTCATCTGCTGCCAATCAGGATTGCTTTCAGAAGTGCAATAATAATGCAGCACTCCGATAACAGTGATAATAGTTCTTTCCTTTGCAAACCGCATTGTGATTTGAAGCAGCAGAGTAGTTTCTCCTCCCTTCTTTATCACGGCCTCGGTTGACAATTTTGAATAATTGTTGAAGCTTTGTGTTTGTTTTTCTGGGGCGGGGAAGGGAGGAGAACTAAGGATAGTCCTTGACTTACGGTCACAATTGAGCCCCAAGTCACTAAGCAAGATGCCATAGTGGTTAGGTGGGTTTTGCTCCATTTTACGCCCCCCCCTTTTTTGGCCACAATTGTTGAGTGAATCACTGCAGTTAAGGTAATAATCTGGTTGTTAAGTGAATCTGGCTTTCCCATTGACTTCGTTTGTCAGAAGGCCACAAAAGGGGATCCCAGGATCCCGAGACACGGCAATCGTCAGGCCAGTTGCCAAATGTCTGAATTTTGATTATAAGTATAAGCAGTGATTATAAGTATGAAAAACTGCACTTTTTCACTGGTCTTGTAACTTCAAATGGTCGCTGGATGGTTGTAAGTCAGAGACTAACAGTACAATTCGTCCTTGACTTACAACGGAGCCCTGAATTTAAGTGAATTTTTTTTTGCCTCGTTTCATTTATTTTTATTTTTTAAATCCATGTATACCAAGGGTCTTCAAACTTGGCAATTCCCAGAATTCCTGAGCTAACATGACTGGAGGAGGAATTCTGGGAGTTGATGTCCACAAGTCTTAAAGCTGTCAAGATTTTTTTTATTTTTTTATTTTTAACAACAAACATAAACACAAACACAAAACAACAAATAAAACCTTTCAGTTATACAGTGCGTTGGTTGGTACATATTTTTTGTGCCCAATATCAATTGTCTTTCCCTCTTAGATTTTAATTTATGTTCATATTATATTGATCAACTTTCCATCTCCTATTATTATTACAGCATCATTAGACTTTAATTGCAAATTCACATTATCCTTTTCGAGCACATCTCAATAAAGCTGTCAAGTTGGAAGACCCCTGATTTATACAGTATCCCTTGCTCCCTCCCCACCTGGTCTCTTTCCATCTGGTCTCTGTCTTGGACCGATGGCCTATTCCCCCCCATTCCTTATGCCAGGGGGTTGCCAAGGTCATCCATCATCTGCACCTCTGGACAGCCTGCTTTCTGTCTGTGCTTTGCTAGCAAATTGAGGCCATTATGGGCACCCATGGAGAGAGTGGCGAGTCTGGCGTACGCTGGCTTGGTGAAATTTGTGGGCTTTATCAGGGTCCAGAATTTCATTTCATTTCCTTTTGAGGCGTTTCTTAAGTGAATCGCAGAGGTTCTTAAATTGTTAAGTGAATCTGGCTTCCCCCATTGCTTCTGTCATGCCCTTGGTAGAGTCAGACTCTGAGGGAGGGGAGGAACCACCGACAGGGAGTGGAGGTGTGGTTCCTGAGGTTGTAGAGGAGACTGGGGAAGGGCAGAGGCCGGCTGGGCAGTCAGAAGAAGAACCGGGCCCATCCCCTCTGCATCCTAGGACATGCAGGAAGGAACGGAGAAGGGAACAACGTGGCTTACGGGAGAGGAAGCGGCCATGATCCTCATTGGCTGCAGCTGGGGAGAATGGTATATAAGAGAGATGGTTAAAACACAACATTGCCAGAAGCAAAGCGTATTTTATTTTGGGCTGAAGTTATCTTGGTTGGTGTCCTTCCAACAGGTTGTGTCTTGTTATCTCCTTGAATTTGGTAATTACTTATCCTGGTCCGTTGTGGAAATTTCATCATTGTAGTTTGTTTGGTTTTTAATTTCACCTTTATCTACTCATTAAATTCGGACTATTGCTTTCTTTTGAAGACTATTTTTGAGTACATTTTATCTCCAACTGGAAATTATTGAACTGTGGGGCCAAGTTGGAGGCATTAAAGGAAATTTATTTACGTTTTGGATTTTGTTACATTTGTGTTACACTCTGGTTCATCACAGCTTCTGAGAAGGTCACAAAAGGGGATCACGTGATCCTGGGATCCTCTTTTGTGAGCTTCCAACAAGCAAAATCAATGGGGGAAACCAGACTTGCTTAATGATCATGTTACTAACTTAACAATTGCAACGATTCACTTAACAACGGTGTCAAGAAATGTTATAAAATGGGGCAAAACTCACTTAACAAATGTCTTGCTTAGCAACAGGAATTTTAGGCTCAATTGTGGTCGTACGTTGAGCACTACCTGTAGTCTACAGAGATTTCTCTTCTTGAGAACATCTTGGTGTTATTTTTAGGCTTCCTGCCAGAGGCTGAATATTAATTCTGTTTACTTTGGATGTTAAAGATTGCTTTAGAACCAGGTTTTTTTAAATGGGTGTGAACCTGCCTACTCTTTCCATGTCACACCCACTTTTTGAGCATGGATATTATTCAGGGCTGAATGTGGCCCATGTGTACATTTAAACTTCAGCTGGTCTACATATAAACCATTCTCTAGCGTGGGGTTTCCCAAGCTTGGCAGCATGGCTGGGTAGGGAATCCTGGGAGTTGGAGTCCAGTTTTCTTAAAGTTGTTAAGTTTGGGAAACCATTCTCTAGTGCAGAGGTCTCCAAACCTGGCAACTTTTAAGACTTGGGAACTTCAACTCCCAGAATTCTCCAGCCAGCATTGAAGTCCCCAAGTCTTAAAGTTGCCAAGTTTGGGGACCCTTGCTCTAGCGGAAGAGAGCCTGCCCCTTCTCAAGGCCATTTAGCTCCAGTGTAGCCCAGATAGAGAGCTTCCATGATGATGTTACTCCCGATATATGTTCCTCGTTGCATGAACATCTCTGATCAAACTAGATAGAAGATCGATCGTCTGTTATCTGTAAATTTTTAGTGGGGCATTTATTATCCAAAGCTTGTGTTTTCCACGTTGCTCTCTGGAAAACCTCCATCCATCCTCTTTTCATCAGGGAGTATGTTGTAGTTCTCATCCAAATGGACACTCTTTATGTTAGAAAAAAAGATGAACAAGGATATGAACAATTGTATAAAGTCATGCACGGTATGGAAATTTTTTTCCTCCCTTCCCCCAAGCAGTAGGACAAATGAAACTGATTAGAAAGCACTTCTCTACACAATTAGTCCTTGGAATTCATTGCCACAAGCCATGGTGATGATCATTAACCTGAAAGCTCTAAAAGGGTGTTGGATGGATTCGTGGAGGGCAGATCTATCAAAGGCTGTTGGTCTTGAAAACTTGACGGTACCTCTTGTTAGGGAATTGTGTGTCTTCAAATTCCAGTTCTTAGAGAATAGTGGTGAAGAGGGCTTATGTCTTAGTCTTGAGTCCCCTAGTGGCGTCTAATTGGCCACTCTTAAGTCCTCCAAAAGCACCTAGTTGGCCATGAATGGAGGTTGGCCACACCAGGTCCTCCACAGGCATCTAGTTGGCCACTCTAGGTCATCCAAAGGCTTCTAATTGGCTATTCTAGGTCCTCCAAAAGCAACTAGTTGGCCATAAATGGAGGTTGGCCGCTTTAGGTCCTCCATAGCATTTAGTTGGTCACTCTAGGTCCTCCAAAGACTTCTAATTGGCTATTCTACGTCTCCCAAAGGCAACTAATTGGCTATTCTAGGTCCTACAAAGGCAACTAATTGGCATTGAATAGAGGTTGGCCGTTCCAGATCCTCCACAGGCATCTAGTTGGCCACTCTAGGTCATCCAAAGGCATCTTGTTGGCTATTCTTGGTCCTCCAAAGGCATCTTGTTGGCCCTGAATGGAACTCACTTCTCAAAGCAAATTGCTGGATTTATTCTGATGTTATCTGGTTAAAGCCAAACTTGTATTTTACACACAATTTGATGTCTGTAGTAGCTCATGGAGTAGGAGCTTATGTAAACAGTAGCATTCCATTCACCCTAGGAGACTTAGTTTGGTTTCCTTATTTGTTTCTGTCCTATGGGCAGATAAATGAAATGTTAATTACGAGACAAAATAACTAAATAATGGCCCTTCTTCCCTGACCTGGAAATGAACTGGTTGGCAGAGGAGGGGTGAATAGTCCATCTGACCTCCAATTCAGCAAAAGAGGCCACTGTTTTCTTCGCTGTCTCTGAAGGAAAGAGGCTTCTTTTGTAGAGCAGAAAATGTATGTTGCTTCTTAGCAGATAAATAAGATCTTTCCTAGGCTTAAAACGGTTAGCGTACTTTATTTATAGGGTTGCCCAAGGCTGATTTATGAATTATCTTTCTGATAAACTCTTATTCACCTTTTGCTAATTTGCCTTCTGCCTTCCCAGGGGAGAGTGTTATGACGATTGAGGTGGTGAATCCTTTTCCACTTAAATTCCCAAAGCACATGTAAAGTTTGCTGCTTTCATTTAGTTCTGGAAGCAGGAAAGTGACTAAGGAACTAGAGTTCCTTAAATCAGAATCTGTCACCCTCCAGGAATCGTAGCTAATGACAAGGGCAGTTTCTCATCTCTGCTCACTACATTGGGATGAGTATTGCTTGTGAACATAGTTACCAATCACATTAAGCCCGTAATAATGGCCATTTATCTGAACCTAGCCAATTGTGGCTGCTTTAATACTTTTTTAAAATAAGTGTTCTGATGCTCTTTCATAGTTAAAATTAAGCAGGCGTCCAATGTGGTTTGTCTAGAGAAGATTACTTAAAATCTGCTTTTAAATGTCATAGCATGGCAGTATGTAATTTAGAATGGATCCAGCAATAAAATAAAATACCAATTTAGTGTTTTAGAAAGAATGCTGCTCTTCCTTCCTTCCTGCTTTTGGTTTATAGTCTAGGCCAGGGGTTCCCAATCTTGGCAACATTAAGACATATGGACTTCAACTCCCAGAATTCTGGCTGTCTGGCTGGGGAATTCTGGGAATTGAAGTCCACATGTCTTAAAGTTGCCAATATTGGGAATGCCTGATCTAGGCCACTGTTTCTCAACCTCAGCAATTTTAAATGGCTCAGTTCCCAGAACACTTCCTTCCTTCCTCCCTTCCTTTCTTCCGTCCTTCCATCCTTCTGTCCATCCATCATAGTGCAAAGGTTAGAATGTAGCATTGCAGGCAAACTGCCCATTGCCAGGAGTTCAATCCTGACTGGCACAAGCTTGCCACCCTTCCATCCTTCCGAGGTTGGTAAAATGAGGACCCAGATTGTTGGGGACAATAGGCTGACTCTGTAATCCACTTAGAGAGGGCTGTAAGCACTATGAAGTGGGATATAAGTCTATTGCTTATGGCTACATTTGATACAAATATATCTTCCAGTTGTCTTAGCAGCAGCTGACCTGGTGTTAAACAGTAAGCCAGAAGGGCTGATTTCTATTCCACTTTGGCATAAAGTTTTGTGGTTTATTCCACTCCAGTGATGAAATGGCAGTCTTAAACCTGGATTCAAAATTGGGAGCTTTAAATCTCACCCAGTAATTAGCTTGAAGTGCAGCAGCCCACAATGTTTGTAAACATTAAAATTGCTCAAGTGGAAAGTTTCTATCAAGTAATATCGAGAAATGATGACATTTCTGAGAAATTAGCCGTTGGGTTAAGCAGTAAAGTCATCAGAAGATTAAGAAACAGATTTTTGGGAACGTGCTGTTGACAGAAAGATGGCAAGTAGTGAAAGGAGAATACCTTCAAAAGGTAACATATGTAGGCCAGGCTGAAATTTGCGTGTCTTAATCTTGTTCAGATTTGAAGGCTGAGAAGCAAGTAAAAGGATCTCTGCACCAACTTAAAACTGTTCAATGCAAATAGGTAATTGTATTAATTATTTCCATTCCTCAGAGGATATGAAGAGAAGCTTAAAAGGAGTGGTGTGATGAGCTGGAGGGCATCTCCCCGTTGTGTTGCGGACTGCAATTTTTAACCAATAGTTATTGCGAGTGACTCTCCTTAAAGAGGAAATTTGTGTTTTTCCTGTGACGCT